CCAGTGATTCGGTTTCCTTATCATTTAATAACAAAATTATATATTGAAAACAAAATACAACAGCGCCAAGCACAGGTGCTGTGGAAAAGCCTGTCTTGGTGGTGGTGTCCAGCAATTTTAAGCACTGGAGAAAAGACTGAACTAAAATTAAGAATATCATGGCTGTCAGTATGTACTCTTTCGCAGATTAGCGACATGTGAAAGTTTTGATAAAACAGGTGTCTAGAAATTTAAGTTTCAGACTTAAGAAAAACCTTCTCCTATTAGCCATTTATTGAACATTACCATTTATTTCCATTGTTATTCATTGCCACGGAGCCCAATTATTTGTTTTCTTATTCACATTTAGTCTGCATTATCACAAATAAAATAAAGACCACAAGGATGTCATTACCCTTCAGCATTTCCCAATGCATAATTCCTAATTTGCATTAAATCCTTGAAGAAATGTACACTGCAGTGAATGACATGTCCTTCTGTAATAAGTACTGTAAATAATGAAATAATCTTTAGCTCAGTATACACACACAAAACTACACATACAGTTAAATTGACCAAGATGCTTTTATATATCTTAGGTGTACGATATTCAATATGCTTAGCATACATTATTTGAGAGGAGTATAATCTTTGATCATAAGACAGTAGTTTAAGAAGAAATAACTTCTATAATTTCACTTATCTGTTTAAGTGACCTAGAAATCTTATGCACCATAACTGATGGGAAAGGCTAAATAATCAATGCTGCTGATACTTAGTGTAGTTCTCAAAGGCCTAAAACCTTTCTCAAAAACCAGTATTTGAAACCTGTCATTTTAGAAACAAAACAAAACAAAAAACCCTACAACTCTTAACTATTTTTACTCAAGTACAGGAGAGCTTTGAAACAATTTCCTCTAAGCACTCAAAGAAAATTAATTTTAAAAGAGGGGGCCATGAGAAGGACTTTAATTTCTAAGAATACCCTGAGAGGTAACTTTGTATGAAGAGAATGCCTGAGTATCTCTAAAAACTAAGGGGAGAAAAAAGTAATTAAAAATGTTGTGTTCCACAAACTGAGCAGAGCATAAAAATGACTCAAAAGGGGAAATTTAATGAAAAGATTAAAAAACTGAAAGCAAATTAATTGATTAAAACACAAAGACATACACGTACACATTGCATGAAGTCATTCAACATTACATGCTGGCTGGCTTTGTATTTTCTTTTAAAATATAATCATAACTTCTTAATGCATAAAACAATAAAGCTCTCAATAATAATCACGAAAAATTCTAATCAAATTTCACTCTAGAGTTAGTTAGTAATCTGCTAGCATATTAGGCCTGAATAAATGTTATGTTAAACCAGGAATCAACGCATGCTATTTTCCATAACAGGAGCCATATAAATTACAAGCTCTTCCATGTTTTTTTAACTAGATTTGGTACACTTAAAAATAAGCAGTATTCTCCATCCAGAGTACTCTAATGCAACTGATTTTATATCTTTTAGAATTTATAATTCATCCTAATGCTCAATCCTTAAAAAAAACAAAAACAAAAAACCACAATAGGATCTGCAATTGCTACTTACTATCTTATCTTGCACAGTAAAATTGTGAGCATTTGCTAGGTTTCTAAATCCATAGGTTTTGCTCTGAGGTTTCAGAAAGAAGCAACTTTATTTTCTTTTGGTTATTACATATGATTTTAGCTTACAGATTATTAATTTTTAACACTAACATCCCGCTATATTCTCATTTGAGTTGTCCTATTTATCTCAAAGGTAGACTTTATGTATTACCATTACAAAAAAATAACTATTTGCATAATACTTTATGATTTTACATCTATTACAAACACATCACAGGGAGCCTGAGGATGCATTCAGCAGCTTGTCATTCACCACTTCAAGACCCTTCAGAACCAAACAAGGGGGAGGGTGACATTTTGCTAATGGCAGAAGTAAAGAAATGAATATAAATAACAAACCTTGAAGTTTTAAAAAATGCAAACAAAAATATGATCCACATGCATAAACAAGATAGTTTTAATTTGTAAAAGTCCAGGTAAAGATGTGTCTTGTTATGATACCCTTTTAAATCATCTAAAACTGTGCTCCAAAAATAAAGCAAATTGCCATCTTGTTGAATTTTATAAATTAATATGTTAAAATGTGATTGTACCTCTTTACAGAATTCAGCTTTTCCTCAGCTTTGTGAAATAATCTGAGCATCATTTCTTTATTACTACAGATTTAACCCTATAAATATGCATAGTAAGAATGTTTAAGAGGGAAATAATAATGATCCAACATGTTTAGAAATCATGTTGTTTCATAATTTCTTGGTAAAACAATTACAAAGAAAAGTGTTTAAAGCTTCTGTATTTTCTTCCATAACCACCAGTCCAGATAAAAAAAAAAAATACTGAAAGCTCAGTTATGACATCTCCAGTCTAAATGCTCATAGCACTTGAAGCTTTTTGTAAACAATATGCCTCTATACTACATACATATCCCTTGAACCACCATCTACTTAATTTAACATTTTTAAATGTAGTTTCAAATGCAGCGTAACACCATCTTACACACACACACAGAGGAGTGTGCAGAAAAGGAAGGAGGTGGAGAGCAAGAAATGGAGCACGTTGTTGTTTTTCATTCATGCAGTATAGTGATGTCAGTGTCTGCAGCAGCAGCAGCGGCCGCGGCGGCAGGAACCTTGACCTGTGGAGGCTAAAATCCACTGAAGTCAGAACCTCACAGAATTCAAAAGAAACTGAGTAGATAATGTTTGAAAAAAATGTTCAAATGTTCACAGAATGGATTTTAAATGGCTAAACAGAATAGATTAGTTGCAGTTTTAATATGGGTAGAGAGGAGCAAGGCGGGATGTGGAGAAGTAACATAAAGGTAATATAATCAGGGAACTGGGGGCTCAAGAGCCTGCATTCAAAATCCCTTAAATGTAAGAAACTGATAAAACCACCTGGTGTTAAAAACAGCAGAAAAGCCTCTTCTATTCCCAATACAAGCTCTCTAGTGATGCAAATCTGTCTGCTGCACAACCAGACTCAGGGAAGTGTTTTCATCATGATTACATTAAAATTGCATTAAACTCAGATATGCCACACTACAACAAAGGGGATAGTTTAAGCCTGATCACAAATTTCATTAAAACTACTTTATGATGGACCATGTAATTCTTAAGCAATTAAGGCTTTTGAAGGATGCAGAAAAACAAGTTGTACTATGACGTGTTGTAAGATGTTAGTGTTTATCAACAAAAGGGGAGGAGGCACTAGGTGGCCATTATATTGTTGCAGCAACTACTCTTACTTTGCCCACAAAACCCTCTGTACAGTCTGAGATGCTTATTCTATGGCTGTCACATTAGTCCCTAAAAGAAAATCCCAAAACTCAATCTATGCACTGTTGAAGTTAAATCACTCAAAAATTTCTCTAACTGCTGCCTTCTATTCGTCTTTTACCTCTCATTTCATATAGCTCCAGAAAATGTGCAAGGGAGCTGCATATGGCATTAATCTGTTAGAAAATGGTGGCCTTTTCTATAAAATACAGCCAAAGATGTGTGTTCAGTTGTGGTCATTATTAGGGCGATCACGTTGTTTTCATTCATTCATTCAGGATTTGCTGGAGGATGTCAGTTTCTGCAGCAGCTGGCTTGACCTGGGGGAGGAGTGGGGGAGCAAATTCCTCCTGGCGCATACAGATTACAGGAGGTATTTCTTGGTGCTCATGTACACATACCACTGCACTACATCCTACTCTGCCACACCATCAAGTGGTCTGAAAACAAGTGCCTTAGCAACATGCTAATTACCAGCCAGAAATATTAAAAAAACACCACCACCAAAACTGCAATCCATCATAACATAATCACTTTCTCCAAGTCTTTCATTAAAAAGCTCCATTAAAATTTTTTTTTTTCCACATACCACATCAACGTACAGAGCTCCACAGTGTTTCCCTTCCAAGCAGAGAGTTCCCCACTCGGTATGATCAGTTGTCTCCACAATGCTGCTGCTGCAGCAGCATCTGTAGCTCTAGCCTGGTATCTAATTATATTAGCTACTCCTTATGAGCTTTAAGTCCCTGTTTTGGCTAATCTTCCTTTTCTCCCCCAGGACCCAACTAGATCATGCACTGTCCCCAGACATAAACAAAACCAAACCAAAACACAAAACATTAAGGGAAACCGACAGCATCCACTAGCTCACCATTACCTTTGACACCTAACAAAAAAGAAACTTGAGATCCTTTAACAGCTCAACTGAACTGTTAAGTGTACTTAAAAATGGAAGGAAAAAGTGAGCACACTCCACAAATAGGTCTTTAGAAATTTACCATGAAAATCTTGAGTTGGGCACAGACGATTCTCAGCGAAGTACGGCTCTGATGCATATGACTATATAAAGTAGAAAAAAAGAGACCAAAAAAAAAAAAAAACCCCACCAAAACACTATACACTTCAATTGCATATCCAAAACTGTCTCTTCTACACATCCAACAGATATCCTCATAACTAATGCCATCACCCTTCCAAAACAGAAGAAATATATATATATCCCAGTAGTCACAGACACGTTAGGAACTTTGTAGGAAAGCACAAAGAGGCTGTGGATTACAACCACCACCTTATCGGCTGCCAGAGTTTGTGTGCGTGTATTTTTAAGTGTTTCGCCCAGCTCCTCCTTCCCCCGCTACCAACAGCAAACACATGAGTGAGCTAATCAGCTCACAAACTGAAAAACCTTTCGATGCAGGCGAGTGATGGAAGATAAAATCTGAGGGGCGGCATGTGGGTCAAATAAAAGTTGCTTTGCAGTTCGCTCCTCCAAGCCCCGCAGCGACCGCAGGGAGGTGAGATTCCCAAAGCCACTTTCACACCTTCGATAATGCACTAGCAAAGAGAAGCCCGGAGAGGCTGAAGTTTCCACGGAGGGAACCGTCGGGGAAGACGCAGCCCGGGAGGACGGAAGGGTTGGGCTCGCTACCTCTGCACACGGGCGAGCCGGGGCTCCGTCTCTCAGGTGAGTTGCTCCTCCGGTGGTTCTCGGGGGACCGTCTCGGGCGGCCCTTGGCCCGCGGCGCCTGCTCGGTAGGGGCCGCGGCCGTGGCGGGCGGCAGCGTCGGGCTGGGCGGGCTGGGGCCGCGGGCCGCGCTGGGGCCCGGGAGGTTGCCCAGCGAGGCGGCGGCGGCGGCGGCGGGTGGGCGCGTGGGACTGTGCTGGCTGCCCCGCAGGAGCTGGTAGGGCACCGTGGCGCGGATGGGCTGCAGCAGCCGGCCGGCTCCCGCAGCCGGGGCGCAACCCACGCCGCCGCCGCCCGCACCGTTCCCGTTGCCGGCGGAGGGGGCGGCGGGCGGGGAGCCCGCGGCGCTGCGCCGCATCCTCTGCGGCGGGGGATGAGGGGTCTGAGAGGAACTGGAGGAGGAGGCAGTGGACATGGTGGCTCCGAGGGCCCGGGACGACGCCGGCCGACACGGAGGCGCAGAGCGGGAGGCGCGCGAGCGTGTGGGAGCCGGCGCGATAGTGCGTGCGAGTGTGTAAGGGGGAGGGGCGGGGGTATCGGGGAGGAGGAGGAGTCTCTCGGCTCCCCCTTCCCAACGCGCACCCCCGCCGCCTCGGCGAGGGGGGGAGGGGAAGGCTGCAAAAACAAACGCCCAACGGCCCCAACCGGCGGGCCGTGCTCGGTGTGGCGGTCACGGCTGGGGCCGCGAGGAGCCCGGAGCCGCCGCCGCCCCGGGCATCGCGCTGACAGGGGAGAGGGGCAACAGTCCGGATCACGCAGCCTCGGGGCCGCTCGCTGCCTCGCAGGGCTGCACGCGCGGGATCGCCCGGCAACTGCAGGGAGGGCCCGGACCCCTGCTTCTGGGGATCGGGACAGGAGGAAAGGGCCTCGAGGTGTCTGGCTCTCCGCGGATCCCGCGCCACCGCAAACACCGCCGCCGCCGCCTCCGCCTGCTCCTCACTCCAAATGGCAACTGATTTCCCCACCCGCACCCCGCCCCCGGCACCGCCTCCCCGGCGCTCGGACCCGGCAGCTGCCGCAACGAGCATTCCCATTGGCTCCGCCGCTCTCCACCAGAACTCGAGTGATTGGTTGAGGAATAGGAGTGAGAGGAGCACTTGCCAATGAGAGTGGTGCGTGCTACTTTGGAGGCGGGGCGTGAGGTAGTGGAAGAGTGAGGAGGGGGCTGGCTGTGCGCGCAGGCAGAGGCGTGAGAGTTGACAGCCTTTGAGGTGAGAGCCAGAGTTTGATTGGGCTGCCGTAGGAAAGTGGGTCCGTGCGTGTCCTGCGCGTGCCTCGACACCCAAAGACACACGCACACCCCGGTAAGCCAGTTGCGAGGGCTCCACCCTCCTGTGCCGATTGTACAACTTTAGATAGACGACACTTAAGGCTAACTTTACTTTGCAAGTACACCTGTTCTGTTGGGACGTTTTAGAGTTGGAACCAGAAGAACCCATCCCTTCCCCTCTAACTTTAGTAATCTGAGTTTTTGTGGCAGCTAGACTAATGGATCAAAAGAACCTCAAGGCATCAGAAGCAAAGTCTAGAAGCTGGACTGAACCAGGGGCCAATATTTTTATAAAAGTCTATCCTTAGATTTGTAGTTATACAGTGAAAAGAGAATCCATCTTAGGTTCCAAGACAGTAACTGAATTGCAAGGGTTAACAAGGAATTGTACATCATTACACCATCAGTTAGATATATTAATGGAGGGCACCCTGTTGCCTTTCCCCAGAAGCAGATGGCCTCTTGGGAGAAATAAATACCAGACTTAATGTAACAATCCACTGTGGTAAATTTAGTTTTTATTCTGCAGTGAGACTGAATAGATAGGAAGATTTTGGATGACTATCAAAAACCTAAGTTTACCCCATAGTAAACCAACGTTTTAAACCTTATTCAGAAAAAAATAAATAAACCTTATGCAGTAACAGTTAATTTAAGGGTCTACATCAGATACTCTCCATTAATTTCCATGAGATAATAAGATAGAGAAGTGGGTTTTCAGATTGGTCTGCTCTTGGTGTCTGCCCACACTGACAAGCTTCCTGTGATTTTAGGCACTATATGCAGGGTTTAGTTTCACTTAGAGGAGCCATCCCTCTCTGCTTCCTTGTGCTCTCAGTCCAAAAAGCATACTAGCTTCTGTAAAAAGTAGATGAAACCCAATAAAAATTCAAGAATTGCATCCAGTACTTCCCATTAAGAACGGTGGTAGTTCCTCCCTTTATCACACACTAGAATAATAGCTAACATTTAATGAACATTCATCACGTGCCAGCCACTGGTCTAAGAATGTTTTATGTGTTAACTCATTTAGCTCTACTATAATCCACAAGGTAGATATGTTCTCAGCTAAAGCACAAAAAAGTTAAATGTCTTGCCTGAGATTACTTAGCTAGTAAGTGGGGAGCTAAGAATCCAACCTAGGTGAACTAACTTGAATCTGTGAGTAAGCCCTCTGTTCTAGCACATCACAGCTTAAAGCTGTGGAATACATGACTGGTAATTTACAACAGTCCATGAGTGTGAGATAAGTTCCCATTAGTTCAAAAGAAATTTTACAAGTGAAGGTAGCCCACTACCTATATGTTTTTCTTTCCACAATAACATGTATTTTAGTTATACATACAGTAAATTCTCTTTTAAATTTGGTGTAATCTATTGAGTTAGTTTTTCCATCTAAAATTAAAGACTTCATTAATTAGGAAATTGCATTCTTTTATGAGGAAAAAGTAGCTTCTTTGCAATGACTTTTAGCATATCATAAAAATCTTGAAAGATTAAAATATGTGAAGTTTAAAAAGCTAGTAAATTACTAAGTTGTTGATTTGATTACAGCATAGTTTCATTATAGAAATGTCCTCTCTGGCCACTCCTAAATATAAGTATGGAACAACCTCAACACATTAGATTACAATAATTCTAAATTTATACCAAGCCACAGTCATAATGATCAATACTTGATTTGGATCTAAAACCACATACCTAGCCATATTTTAAAGGCTTTCTATGTCTTTCAAATCTACCATAGCCAATTAAATCAGCCGTCTAATACATATCTAAACAACCCACACAGAGAACTACTATGACATTAAAATCCTATTTTCAGTTACTTATAAGTCATCATGACCTATTTGGATGTTCAATCAGCTTCTCTTTGCTAAAGAAATCTTGATCGTCTCTTAAACTTTTATTCTCGCAAAATAAGTACTGATCTTCATGTGTAAGGAATTCAGTCTCCAAACAAATAAAAAATGGGCTAAAATAAACTAAACCCTGCTTTCAAATATCCACTTGTTGAGTTCTTAATAATGTTTTATTCTTATCAAGAATGAGAGTAGGCTCTCAGGGCATAACAGAAACTTTAGGAAAATACTCTCCTCAGTAAATTGGAAAACCTTTAGAAGGAGGTGTGGATTGCTTGGCTAGCAGGGCACTGTTGTACTACTGTGCTAGCTATGGGATAGAAAGGTCCAGAGCAGATTATTTCTATTGGTTGAATATAAGTGGGACAATCTCTGCAAATTCTATAGGATACTTAATGTTAGTAATGATCTCTTTCCTATGTTGCCCTGTCTAGAAGAAAACAACATTGAAAAAACAATTTGGTGGCATGGGAACCACCTTTGTTCCCAGTAGCCTTATGTCTTGGCTGTCTGTGGGACAGAAATCCACCATTAGCTCATTTGAGGTAAAGTTCTATTATATTTACTTCTTAGTTCATATACAGTAGTGGACATATTATGGATTAAATTTAAACTTGGAATCAGTGGCTACATATGATTAATATGCAGGCCCATGGGGAGAGAAAATGAGGTAAAGAAGCATTGGGCCTACTCAGCTATCAAGCCTCTCTTTTCTGGTTTCATCCAGGTTTGCCAGGCTGCACATCCAAGGTTCATCCAAATCTAAGAGGCAGGCCAGGCTGTCAGTATTAGCAATGAGGTCATGGCTGAGAGAGAACACTGAACAGATCTGCACTGATGTTCATCTTAAGCTGATTAAACTCTCTTGTAGGTGGATTCTTTATAGCAACAACAAAAAAAGCCTTGCCTGAATTTTTGTCCCTGGCAGATGCTTACAGTAATACTCCTTACTGCTTGTGACAGCCTACGTGCACCTTTGCACTAGGGGTTCCCTCTGCCTGAAAAGTTCTTGCCCCAGATACCCACGTGGCTTGCTCCCTCATTTCCACCAGCTCTTGACTCCGATGTCACCACCTTCATGACGAGAGCTTTTCTGAAAACCCTTGTTAAAATTGCAAGCACCCCTAGGCATTTTCAATTCTCTATCCTACATTCTTTCCCCCAGAAAACCTATCACAATCCAACCTATTATATATTATAGTTATTTTGTGTTCTGTCCGTCTAGAATGTGAGAGCTGTGAAAGCAAGACTTTTTATTTTATAACTGCTGAATCTTCACAACAGTGCTTGGTACATGGTAGACAATCAATATTTGCTCAATATTGTTGAAAGAGTAGCATATTTTTACCAGTGCTTGTTGAACCAAAACTGTGCCTTTTAACAGAAAAATATATATAACCATGGGTAGATCTGCTGAAAAGACATAGCCACAGAGTGGAAAAATGTTCCATGTGGCTCCTATAAACCATACAGATATTTGCATTGGAGTTGGGTGTTCAAAAAAAGAGCGTATCTTGTGTTCTGGTCCTTAAACAGGCAAAGTGAAAAGTATTAGTCCTATTGGCTATTGGGGGCTCATCAGGGGTTGGAAATGGACAGTGAAATTGGTGATAGAGAAACAGGCAGTTGAAATTTGCAGGAAAAAAAATAACCAAGTGAAATTGACAGAGAAGCACAGTTGAGGACAGTTAGGGAATGACATCTGCTGATTTCTAGTCGGTTCTCTCGCACTGTTAGGAACAGTTATTCCCAAGAGGCCTGTATAAAGGAACTGAAAAAAATTGTATTTAAGTAGAAAGTAACATTTCATGTAAATAATAAAATTTTTGCTTTCTTTTTCCCTAGCTTTATTGAGATATAATGATATAAGATTGTATAAGTCTAAGGCGTACAATGTAATGATTTTGCACTCTATAGGTCTGTAGTGCAAGATTAACACAATAAGATTATTTAACATCCCTTACTTCACATAGTTACATTTGTGTGTGTGGTGAGAACTTTTAAAATCTATTTTTGTAGCAACTTTCAAATATACAATATAGTATTGTTAACTACAGTAACCTCACTGTACATTATAGCTCCAGAATTTATTCATTTTATAATTGGAAGTCCGTATCTTTTGACCACCTTCACCAATTTTCCTCACTCCCCACCCCCTGCCCCTGGTGACCACCAATCTGTTCTCTGTTTGATAAGTTTTGGGGTTTTTTGTTTTTTTATTTAAGATTCCACATATAAGTGAGAATGTATAGTATTTGTCTTTCTGCATCTGACCTATTTCACTTAGCAAAATACCCTCAAGTTTCATCCATGTAATTACAAATGGCAGAATTTTTTTTTCTTTTTTATGACTAAATAGTATTACATTGTATTATATATATTTTATATACATTTCCATGTCTTGGCTATTGTAAATAATGCTGCAATGAACATGGGATTGCAAATACCTCTTTGAGATACTCATTTCATTTTCTTTGCATATATATCCAAAAGTGGGATTTACATAGTAGTTCTACTTTTAACTTTCTGAGGAATTTCCGCACCGTTTTCCATAGTGGCTGTACCACTCTGCATCTTCACCAACAGTGCTCAAGCGTTCCCTTCTCTCACCTAACCGCACTTGTTATCCCTTGTCTTTTGTGAAAAAGAAATTCTAACAAGTGTGAGGTGATATCTCATTGTGGTTTTGATTTGCATTTCCCTGATGATTAACGATGTTGAGCATCTCTTCATGTACCTAATGACCATGTGAATATGTTTTTTGGAAAAAGTCTCTGTTTAGGTCCTTTGCCCATTTCCTTTGCCGTGCAGAAGGCTTTTTAGTTTAATGTAGTTCCACTTTGTTTTGCTTTTGTTTCTTGTACTTTGGGCGTCGTATCCATAAAACCCTTGCTAAGACCAATGGCAGGGAGCTTTTCCCCTCTGTTTTGTTTCTAAAAGAAGTTCAAAAGAAGCAGTAGATATAGTGTACATTTTATTTTTAAAGAGTAAGTATGTAATTATTCCTACAAGGATAGAAAACAGTGATGAGGACCCCCAGTTTTTCAGCTTTCATTTCCTCAGCAATTTCTATACCCAACTATGATGCCGGGGCATATTCCCAAAGCTGATATACAAGTTGACTTTTATCATTTAACTAAAAGACTATATTGTACAAAGCCAGGACATTCAGAGGCTAAAGATGTGGGGACCAAAGAAACTGCAAATATTCTCTTTCCATGCTGTGGCATTCCATTTGTTTTAATTCCAAACATGGTGTCAACAATGCATTAAGCAGTAGTAGTCCTGTGAAGAGAGTATGCTTGAT